TTTTTTTTTTTTTTTTTCTTTTTTTTTTGTATGATAACAATCCCCGATGTGCACTAACTCTAAGCACTAATATCTGATTTGTCACTGTAGTCATTATCATCAGTATAATTATGATTTATATAAAATTCATCACTACTATTTGGCACATTTTCATAATCTCCAGGTTCTCGTGTATAATTTTTACAAACGTAAAAGTCTCAACTGACTGGCTGGTCAAAAAATCTCAACCTCCAGTCAAAGGATCCAAAAGTGTTTAGAAATGAGTTAGATAAGATGAACAGTGTCAAGTTCGACTGCCTAAATAACTGTCACATACTCGTACCGGGAATATCCTGGGCATGCGACTGCAACAACAGCTTCTCGGGGTTCGATCGCAAAGAGTTAATTTAATTAACTGACGAAAAGCTTTATGAAGCGTAGTTAATTGTTAAGAATATATTATAAGAGAAGTTACTCATATCTTTTGCAGTGACTTATGTAAATAACATGTTCAATCTTGAAATGTTAACTATTTTGGCTGAATGAAAGAGGCTATACGTGAACGAATGATTTACCTGAATAGTTGGGATATTTGAAAATTCATTTATAACGATAATAATTCAATTCTAAATTTATAATTATAGACATTAGGAATTTCTTAAATATTATTATTTTATTTTATGAAATTATCGTTATTACGTCCCAATACTTTTATTTCTAATTATACACTTTCTACGTATATATTATTGAAATTCTATGTTTCAAGAGTTTTATGTTGATCTTCAAATTCGAAAGAAAAATACGATTAATTTCATTTATTATTAAATACATAAATAAAATACACGACACTTTGATAAGCGTAAAAATAAAAATGTTTTATGCTCGTATATAAATAATTTGTTAAATGATCCTAAGATATGTCGGGTATTTGTAAATAATTCATGATAAATGCAAGAAAGATTTACGTGGGATATGAGGTTGCGTGTTCAGCGTGAATGTGAATTGTTGTAAATTAATAATTAATTGGAATGAAAATAGGAAATAATATATTTATAAAGTGATTATGTACAAGCAAAACAACAGATTGTGTTTTGTAATAATTCGTGTCTGATAATTTAATCAAAGTAATCCTTTACCTAATAACCATTGCTAACTTCAATGGATGTTTATTAGAAATAATTGTCTTCTGGGGGAAATGTGGAGGCACGTAAAAAAGCTGGATCAAAGGAATTAAATTATGTTAGAAGGAAGTACAAATCTCTTCTCGGCTAGAATTTCAGAGCATTCAGACGGTGGACTGTCCGAACTTTTAGTGTATATCTGCGGTTCAACTGATAACGGTGGACCAAACAAACATTCTTTTACCACACGATTTCCGGTAGCACCTATCATTGCATCGTACTCTGAATCTCCAGTTCTGAAAAACAATGAATTGTAACAAATCATAGAGTTAACAATGGATATTTACTTTTTTACTACATAATTATTATGTACATAAGTAGCAAAGTCTTTTGTAAAAGAAGAGTGATAATAATTGTTGCTCATGTTGTTTAAATCCATATTGGATTTTAATAATAAACAATACTTATCGATATTCAACAGGCTGTTGTGATTTCACACTCTTTCACCTTGTACGAAGAATTTCTCGTTCCTTTCTATTCGGTACTAGATTGTCCGGAGGTTTCAATGCTTTCTTTACCCGTACGAAGTCCTCTGTTACAATTTCCCACGGATTCCTGTAAGATTTCTTTTGAATCGTCTCCAATATGATCCAATCTTCCGGTAAATGGATATCCTTTCTTCTTCTTCCATGTATTTTCGCGCGAGGTAAGTAATCACCTGGCATTATCAAACTTGTATTTTAATATTAATATTTCAACGAGATTGGTTGGTTTATTTTTAAAGCAAAAAAACCTTTCGAATAATCCACTTGATACACGGTTTGTTTAAGATCATTCTCTTTCCTTTCGGTTGTCTCCTCATCTGGCACAATTTCAAGAAATTCCTTTAGACGCGGATATCTCTCGTGAATCTAAATATTTTAACGTAAATGTTATAATATCAGAATTCATAATGCCTAATATTTTATTAATATTTACTTATTATTATTAGGTATATTATATTACTTATTAATATTATATTACGTATTATTTATTATTACATTTAATATTATAATGTTTTTGCAATATTGAAATATTATTAAACAAGTAAAATACTGTTGAATAACTTTTTTCCCCAAAAATTCGGTTTCAAGTTTCACGAATATCGAAAGAAATTAAATTTAAAGGAATCTCTACTTTATCAGCCGTATAGTGTCCATCGATCATTGCTAATTACAAATATCGTTACTCGTTTACTCTGTTTAAGGTCTCTTGAGGATCCTCGGTTTGTTCGTTTAAGGGAAGAACGGCATTTTGTCGCCGTGTATTCAGACACTTTCTGTAAGGGCCATTTAAATTATTCAAGGGTGGAGGATACTCGGGCTGTGGCCTATGTGCCTTCGTTCTGCCAGTTCTTTTCGATCGAAATTCCTTCTTGTATATCGTTATAAAATCACGCGTCTCCTCCTCCACTTCCAGAAGCATGATCTTTCATTTATATATAATTAATTCAGTCGAAAGGTTAGAGAAATCTTGAAGTTGCCTGTTTTTCACTTGACATCATTCAGAATGAATAAGTATAATGTAACCATTTTTATCCGAGGTCTTTTTGTCGAATGAATTATATAATAATATTTAAATATTGTTATATATTTATTTTATAATAATTATATAATAATATAATAATATTTAAATATTG